AGTGGTAGTGATGGTAGTAGTAGTAGTAGTAGTAGTAGTAGTAGCAGTGGTAGTAGTAGTAGTAGTAGTCGTAGTAGTAGTAGTAGTAGTAGTAGTAGTAGTAGTAGTCCTAGTCGTGGTCGTAGTCGTATTCGAATATTCGTAGTCGTCGTAGTAGTAGCAGTCGGCGTGGTGGTGGTGGTGGTGGTAGTGGTAGTGGTAGGCGTAGTGGTAGTAGTAACAGCAGCAGCAGCGGCAGTATCGACGTCGCCATGGTGGTGTTTGAGTTTAGGGTCTGAGGACTCTCAGAGAGTCAGTATCTATTCTTGGGGAAATCCAAACCTGTGCTAAACTGAGCCCGGCGACAACCAAGAAGTGGTTCGGGCCGCAAACACGCTCCGTGCCCCCGAGGATGGTCTGCCAGTGCTGGGGTTTCGGGGTTGTGGGTTGAGGAGTTCATGTGCAGTGCAGGCTTTAGGGCTCATGGTGTTTGGGCGTCGAGCCGTCGAGCGTCCATGCCCCATAGATTGAACGTAAAAACCCCGAAAGCAAACGGCAGTGTAAACTGCAACACATAGCGAGGTACAACAGAACCGAGTAAACATGGCAATCCAGACCGCTCGTTTTGTCGAGAATCGGGCGCTCGAGTAGTCGGATCGTGATGTTAAACCTGTTTCGATACACTTCCAAGACGTTTGCACCAAGCACCGCTCAATACGTCGATGGAGAAACCTGCAGAAGCCTAAAGAATGGCTTGGAATGGGAGATGGTTCCGCTTTCGTCGACTCACCACAGCCGCTAGGTTCGTGATGGAGACTGGGCTTCGAGAACTACCGTACCTGCGGCAATACCTAGTCAAGTCCTAGTCAGCATTGGCTCGTGACAACTCGGAGTTTGGGGCTCCAGGTTTGGAATGGTGTTTCGTGGAAAGAGCCTCAGGACAAGACAAGAGCTTGGGCAGAAGTTTTGGAGTTGAACACTTGAATCATCTTGATTCTACAACTCAGCGTCCCGGGTGTGACGGATGTAAGAAGGTGGCCCTCTTAGTTCTGGCACGCTGTTGTACCGTCACAAGGGCACGCTGATGGTCAGGGTGCACGGCGTAGCGTCTAGGAGGCTTCACGGGAGTGCCGCATTGTGCCAAACATGGCAACAGAGTCGCGTGCAAACGTAGACCCCAAAACCCAACACCGCGTGCCCAACATAAACTGTCCGGTCTAGCCCGACGGATCCTTGGGAGGAATCGCTGTAAGCTTGGCCCGGAGCTCATCAGCAGGTGCCAGGATTACCTCAGAAGTTGAGATGATCCTGTTGTCATGCTGATATACTCAATGATTTACGCATGTAGCTATAGCACGAACAGGATTCTGATCTTCTGCCGCTGCGGGGTACTGTGTATTCTTGGCTGGAAAACGACCCTGAGCCTCAGGAAAACTGGGAGCAGTTTCGGCCGGAAGCAATCAAAGCTTGGCAGGTGTAGGAAGGTCTCAGGTAGTCTGGCTGTGTTGAGCACATAGCGGGTAATCCCGTCCTAATGAAGTCAGTGAATGTCATTGATCTCACTTGCACGAACCATCTGACGAAAGAGGGCATTGCCCGAAGCTTCTAGCAGGGCCCTTTCGGCAAAGGGCCGCAACCACCGCACATTAGCTCTTGCTCTTTTGACTCTTGGGCATGCCGCTGTGTCCCAGGCATCCAGGAGCATTACCAAATCCTCGGGCTGAAGCGTCGTGTCCAGCAGGCCTGAGCTTAGGAAGTCGCTTCACGGTTTACGGCCTCAAACGTGGCTGCAGTCGCTGCAGGCTTTGTTCAAATTGGAGCCGTCTAAGATTTCGGCCTTGGGGCGTCGATCATCAGGCACGAAACGGAACCGTCAAATGCGTGGCTTAGGCCCACATCCCAAACTCCCGAGTCTCACAAAATCCCACTCGGGCTGAGGCTGAAACCTTGACGCCCGAACTCAGACATTATCAAACTCCAAAACTTAAACATATTGAACTTTGTAGCTTTTGAAGTTCTGAACTTCACACGCTTCGAAATCCCTTGAGTCCTACAGATACCCTCGAAGCCACGACACGGCGCAGTGTCCGCTCGTAGGCCAGAAACTTCGTGGCAAATCCCTTCCAGGGCTCACCGAGGCCGACGGTGTGGAAGCGGAAACCTCGGACGGCCCTCTGCTTTGTGGTCTTGGGGCTCTAACTCTAGGCTCTAGGGTTTAGGGTTGAGCGGGTCGTTTCGCAGTTTCGGGCTTAAGGTGGGACATGAGTCACGGGAAGGACCCCCAACAAGATCTGGGCTAGTGATGATCTAGTGATGGCTAGTGCAGCAGAACACAGCGGAGAGGGGATATTTGCGGAAAGGAGTGGAGTCAGCCGCCCGGTCAAAAGTGAAATTACACATTCTAGACTCCTTCTAGACTACTGCACGAAGTGTTCTGGCAGAGACCTGACGCTGTAGCGCTGCGAAATTCGAAGGCCTAGGCCGTTCGCAGAGCCATGCGCCAGCACATTATGCCTTCGGTTACTAAATTGTACTGGGACACGCAGTCATGCGGCGGGCTGCAGATTCTTGTCGTTGATTTTCGCAACATCGAAACTGGTCGGATCTCAAAGAGCACGAGATGAGCTGTACACCCCTAGCCCTGACAGCTTCGGCGCGAGGACCGCCTGCCCGGTAAACTACCACGAAAGCAGACGAGTCCCGTCACGCTCATGCTGCACAAAGCGCATAGAGCGCCTTGCCCTGAGCACTCTTGCCGCCTACCGCGCAAAAGCCTTTCATGCCCAGCTCTTGTCTCGCGGTCATCACAGCGCCAATCCACTTCTGCCCCAACTTCCGAAACAGCTTGCCGCTGGCGTGCATCTTCTTGCTCAGCACCTGTTGATTTCGGAGACTCCCCACATTAGGAGGACTCCCGCAAAAGCGTTTATTCACACTTGCCGAAGGATGCTACCAACGGCAATGCAGAGCACCCTGCCTTGCCATATTTTTCTTCATGAGGTGCATCTTCTGGAGCACAGCCCCCGTGCTGATAGGACTGCCTGCACACCTGAGGAGTGTTACAGTGTGTTCTCTCTCCAATTTCCAACACAAACAACCAGGCAACGATCAAAATCCACATCCAAACCAACACATGCCCCAATTTCAATGCCCCGCGGCAATCATCCTAAAAACGCCGACTGTTCTCCTACTGAAACCCTCGACATTGCCTGAACAAAGGAGCCCAATACCGGACACCGGCCCCGACTAAACCCTTGTGAGCCGAGAGGCAAGGCTTCGAGTGACAAAAGGTCGGCAACTGAGATGATGCAGTTGCTGCTCATGGGTCCAGGGCTTGGGGCTCAGGATTTAGGAAGAAGTAGGACTGAGACTAATTGTCTGTAGGGGTTCCATCTAGCCGGAGTTCGGAGTATCGGGTTGACCCCCATTCGAAGTATCGGATAAGAAGGTTTGGTCTGCAGGGTGTTGTGGTTTCGGCGAACCCTGGCTTTGGTTGGACACAAGCCTTTTCTGGAGATTGGGTGTTCAAGGGTGGTCTTGTATCACGGGCCGTTTCTGCGGTTTCGTTACAAGCATGAGGGTTCTTGCTGATGCGACAGTGTTTTTGACCGTGATCTGCCCTCTGTTTGCATGCCATGACTCCCTTCACGCAACAGCTGTCAACCCTATTTGAAGGCTCATCTAAGGAACGTCTTTTCAGATGTAGGCATTGGGGATGAAAACGCCGATGAATGCAGTGCCAAGAAGCATGAAGCCAACGAACGTGATGGCAGAAATGTAAGAGAGCTTCCAGCCGTTCTCCTGCGAGTCCCATCAGACCAACCGCGGCAGTAAGAAGCAACGGTAGACGCAGCGGTAGTGTTTGCAGTTGCCGTAAACGGCAGGCGAAGGTGCGGCAGAAGCACCAGCTAATGTCGTGCCTGTTTCTTTGCTTCTGCTGGCCGCCGGAACCCTGCCAGCATCCCGGATTGACGGAGTCCAGAACTAGATCAACAGTTCTCAGGTGCAAAACGTGCGCCAGCATAACTGGCGAAGCATGCTGTAATGATGGGGATGGCAGCAAGCATGGTGAGGATAGCGACAAGATCTTCAAGGAAGATGCCGGTGCAAATAAATGTACATCTTTATCCGCAGAAGTTCTGCTAGTCTTGAGGGTTTGGATAGTTCTGGAAACGGGGCTCTTGGGTTTGAGTACTTCCAGCCTCAACAGATCCGACTGGTGAGAAAAGGCATTCCGTAAACGCTGCTTTCGGCGTGAAATGCCAGCCTTCGGAAAGTGGGTCCTTCGGAAGATTGGGTTGATGGCTGCTTGCCATTCACAGTCCCAGGCTCAGGCAACACCAAGCAAAAGATACATCTTCTGCCACAGGTCCCCGGCGCACAGGCCATGTTATGCCCCAAGTCCGAGGAGTCCTCCAGTCGGGAGAGTTTCCAAGTCGCAACGAGAGGCTGCGCCAAAGCACGGACCTGGGCACTACGGGGATACTTAGATGGCGCCGCTGTTGTTTTGTTCCGCTTCGGGCTTTTCCACTTCATGTTAGTCGTGCACCAGCTGATTTGTTGGCGGAGAACGTTTTCTTGCTGCTGAGGCTTTGGCACTGCAGTGTTTCGGAATTCTCTGGAGCTGCCCACTTCCGTGAAGACATGCAAATCAGTTACCGTCAGTTTTTGCCGGTGCTTACCAAGCGCGATGCTGCCGGCATGCTACCTAGTTCTTCAATGAACTTCAATGGTTCACATACCGACGCGCACACAAAAACAAACAGCCAACACAAACAGTTAACACAAACACACACACACACACACATCCACCCACACGCACAAACGCACACGTGCATAATCGCTTCCCCCATGTATTAAACACCCCTTAATAATAGACAACACTTTAGATCCCTTTTTGAACCCCTTGAAACCTTTTTTATAGACCCAATTGGAACCCCTCTAGATCCCTTGTAGAACCATCTCTGAACCTTGTTGAAACCCTTACAAGACCCTTCTAAACCCATTTACAACACTTTTATAGAAAACCGGTCTAGTACCACATTAAGCCCCTATGACGCCCTAATTAAACCCTAGACTAGAAAGACAGGCTGCCTGCTTTTTTGAGCCAGACAAAGGCACAATACTTTCTTCGTCTTTCTTTCCATTATTACACGGACAAATTAGGGTTTAGGCTCAGAATTTGTTGCCTATTCCTCATACGTATTGTTGGGAATACTTACAACAGAAATAAGAACACCCACAAAAATAAATGAATTTTCCGATGTTTTACTGGGCAGGGTCCGCAGTTTCACATGAGGGGAATGGATTACACACACACACACAAACACACGCGTGTGCGAGCACACGCACACGCGCACACAAACACATACCAACAAACACACACACACACACACACCGACTGGCAAAAAAAACCGCAACCCACCTTTCACTCCACAGTCTGCCCGATGCCCTTAGCCGAGGCGGGGGTTGTTGCCTCGCCGCTCTTCCGCGGCCGCAGCTGGGAGCTGCTGTTGGAGTTGTTTCCCGCATGTACTGTATGTGGTATTGGGCCCCAAGGCCTATTCTTCTTAAAGTTTTAGGGTCCTGTCAGTTTGTGCCCGTATGATGCACATGGATACAGGTCACCTGCCTACGCCACCATGCAGTGTCAAGATGTTTTCGCACTAAGGATCGAGCCAGCAGCTTCTTGAGCAACAGCGGCGCCAAACCCTCAATGATGGAACGACTACACCGACCATCTCGCCACCAGCTTCCTGGATGTCAGATGTTTCTTCCGTTTTCAAACCGAGAGGAAGCATAATTTATCTACAACCCAAAAACATCTACAACCAACGCAGGCCCAGCCACTGTCTAGCTGGCAAATGTCTTCATCGGTCTTGAGGATTGGATGGCCCCATAGTTCCTGAATCATACACGCCATACACCCCCGGAACCCCGCGACGGGCATAGTGGGGGGATTTATTGAGGGAATGAACGAGTGCCTTGGTGAGGAAACTTTGGAAGATCCAAGCAAAACCACGAAGCCTAACTGGGCTTCCAATAAAACAAGACTTGAGCCCCAGAAATCAAGATCTGGAGCAGGAGCTCCGGCAGGAGTGGTAGGGGCAGGAGTACTAGTAAAGTTAGAGTAGGATGCAGCAGTAGTTTCCAGTAGCAGTGGCATTGGTGGTGCTGGTGCTGCACTGGTAGCAGAAGCAAACTCGCCTAAATCCCGTTCCTTCTCTCGCGCACAAGCATGTTATCGCAGTGGTCAGGTGGTATTGGCGGGTATGCGACCGAGCTACTCCGCAGCACCAAATGTTCAACTTGGCAGCTGCTGTTCCCACTCCTACGGTTCTCCTCCTAGCTCCTCCTCCTCCTCCTCCCTCCTC